ATAACTTTTCAGCAAGACTGTCTAAAAATTCATAAAAAATAAAAATTATGAAAAAGGGCTGAGGATGTAGCTCAGTGTGAATGCCCTGGACTCAATAACCAGTACTGCCAACCAATAAGCAAACAAAATAGTGGCATTTTGATTTCCAATTTGATAATGTCCTCCTGCTTAGCTCCCCCGTCTTGTCTGTCTCTCCCTCCTCCTCCTTCCTTTTCCATGTTTGTATGTAGAAGGCTTGTGTACTTTTCCACAGTCCTGTACTTAAGTGCTTTTCATGTCAGACACATACAGAAAATACTTCAGAACGAAGGATATTGGAAAGGGATCTTAAAGCCACAGGCCTTAGGTTCTGTGTGCCCACTGTTTTCAAATACTTTATTGGTCACAACTCATTAGTAAAATCAACCAAGTGGGCTGCCACTGTCATTAAAGTAAGTAAGGATAATAAACTGTATCATTTTTAAAAATGAATTTGTGCCTTACAGTATAAAGTGTATTTATGTGGGCATGGTCAAACTTAGAAAAGTATTTGCTTTAGCCAAATATTAATTAATAATACCTCAAATGTCTCTTAAATTGCATCATTCTTAAACGGGGATTTATGAACAAAGATTCGGCATTAGGATATTGCAAAATTTGAGCAGAAAAACATTATAAGGAGACCAGCTATACAAATCACGACATAACGCATTAGATGATTTGCTCGTTAGTATTCCTGTGTCCTCTTTCAGTATTTTTAGGATATACAGTGAAGGTCCAGAGGTTAGTAATAGCTTTTCCAGAGTTCTTATAGAGTCAGTGGAGTTTTAAGGAACAGTGTAGTGTACCATAATACATTGTTAACAGTACAAATCAGATTGGAGCCCTGTTTGACTATGACAGCCTTGGCCAAATTACTTAACCTCTTTATGGCTGCCTACTCATCCATAAAATAGAGCTAATTCTGCATGTATTATAAGGTTGCTCTGAATAGGAAATGAGGCAATGAATGCAGAGTGTTTGGCACATTCCTTGGATTCTCTGTGTTAATTCTACACTGTTTTTACCATTAACCTGTCTTTGTGCCTTAGTTTTTCCTTCAGGTCACATTATAGCTAATATTATTTGATGGTTCTTTGGAGAATAATAAAAACTTCTTCAGTCATTTCACAGGAGTTTGAGACATTTAAAATCAGAATATAATAAATGTGGAAAGACTATACATTTATGGTATTCCAGTAGTAGCCATAGCAGGAAATCCTTTTGCATCATAGAAGAGTTAATAACTGGATATCCAAGTGGGTAGAATCAATAGTTGATTCAGTTGGGGATAATAAACAGTTCTTTAAAAATACAAACTTATCTTGCTTTAGGGTCTTTGTGGTTGTTCCTTTTGCCTGGAATAGTTTCCTCGTCCATAACTTTTGTTTACCTATCCAGTATCTCCTTATCAGCAGAAAAAGGTGCGGTGTTGGAAAGGCCTTTGCTGGATGTGAGGGCAGTTTGACTTTGACATGTGTCACCCCATTGATCCCTGGGGTTGCTGGTTGATATGGCCAGCTAGGCGCATATTCCCTTACTTCCTCAACGCTCCATTTCCATCCCTCCTGAAGCTGTGATTGGTCAAAGAAGATGTCTGCTCCTGATAGAGGAGAACTGATCCTCTGTCAAGGGTATAGAGTGGCTGCGCTCCCCTGTTAGAACCTCCAGACAAGCTCTCAAGAAAGGCCTTTCCTGATCATGTGGTTGATTGGAGTGGTTCCCAGTTGATGTATTTAAAATCACTTTTTAAAGTGGCATTAGTTACTACCTGGTTCTTCATTTTGTCTCCTGTTTCCTTGTCTCAGCTAGAACGAAAACCTTGAAGGGCAGAAACTTTACCTATATTGTATATTACTATTTTTTCTGTACTTAGATGTTTTCAGTACCTAAAAAACATTTTTGAGTGAGTATAAGGTATGGAAAAGTGTGCTTCCCAGACTGTTGATGTGTACTGCATAGTTTTCTAGTTTTATTTTTTATATGCGTACACATTTATGAGTATCTGTAATTATGCCTTTATAGTATATTTCAGTAAGTCTAAAGATAGACCTTTTATAATTTATATTTCTGAAATTGGGATTTTTACAATCAAAACTATGCTTTCATTTGATTGGCAGCATTTTTTTCTTTTATTGATGACACATAGAATGAAGATGTATTGAAACCTATAGCATATTAGATTTGATAAAATACGGTATATATTTGAAACAAAAATGGGGTTACCTCTTTTCCCCCATGAATGCCTTGAGCATTTCCCCATATCGATATTCTTATATCTGTCTCATTCGCAGTATAACTGATTAAGGATATATTTTTTACCTAATTCCTCTTGATGAATACATGAGCTTTTCCAGTTTTTTTCTGTTATAAATACTGCTATACTGAATGAATATCTTTGTATATATCTTCATGTATATATCTAGATTCGTGAGTGTGTATATATTCTGTAGTGTACAGAGGTACCTGTTTTATATTCTGAGTACTACATCTTAAGAAATTTTAAAATTTTAATTAGTCTTGTAAATGAAAACTATTGTAGTGTTTTAACGTCATTTCTTTAATTAGAGGGTTGAACTAGTTTTTTATGCTTATTGGTTTTTATTTTCTCTTATGTAATACGCTTTTAGTTAGAATGGTAAACTTTTAATTGACTGGTAGATTCACACTAATTAGAGAAACCTTCCAAGTTTGGAACTATGAGTTATTCTTGAGAACAACTTTCAGGCCTGACAGAACCCATCTTGTGGAAGACGAGAGAGCTTTACAAGGACCCAACACTGGAGGAGAGAATTCAGGGGTAGTAGGAATGATAGTATGTTTTACAAGCCATGTGCAGTGGTGCATGCCTGTGATCCCAGCTGCTTGGGAGGCTGAGGTAGAAGGATTGCACATTTGAGGACAGCTTGGGCCATATAGCAAGGCCCTGGCTTTAAAAATAAATTCAAAGGGTTGGGAATGTTCCTCAGTGGTAGAGCTCTTGCCTTGTTATGCACAAGGCCCTGGGTTTGATCCCCATCCCCACCCCCAAACACACATAGTTTGAAAAAGTATTTTTATAATAAAAGCAAAGAGCCAAGAAGAGTTACAGTGCCACCAGTTTGTAAAGCTAAAGACTGGAATTTATACCGTACTGCTTTTAACCTTTAAATAGGTCTTTTCTCAAACTGTTTCTTT